GTTTGTCTTTCGTCACCATCTGCTGTCTCTATTCGCCCTCCTTTTTAGTGCATTTTTATGTCACTTTAAGTTGGGCGCAACAATTCCATTTTAGTGCGTTGTTGTGACATTTGTTTCATTTGTCAGCGCTTCATTAGTCATCAAAGGACCTGCCAGACACGCCCCGACATTCGATATGTGTCGATATCAATGAATTTGTCACTAATTTATGTTCTCTCAACGACACCTAAGGGGAGGGGCAATTAAAACGTGTGGGAGACTAGCATAAAAAATATATCTAAAAGGTCTCTAGAGAGAGGATTGAGGGTGAAAGTGCCATAGGGCGGAATTGAAAAGTTTCAAGTCGCTGGGAAAGTTTTATTTTTAGTGGAGCCATATAATAAGTGAGAAATTTATTAATGCTGGTGGATAAAGGAAGGGTGTTTGATTATGGAACTTAATACCTTACTTTGAGCCTTATTTTGATATAGTTTTAAATTTTCTATATTTAAGTAAGATAAATAAAGACAATTTGCCATAAACCTACAGATTTATGACGTTATTTTAGGTCATTAATTCATGGATATTTTTATATATTTTAAATACTTTGTAAACTTTGTTAATAAATTCATGTTAAATTTCCATAATACCCTTAACTAAAAATTAATTTTATTCATTCATTGTCTGCAACTTTTGCTTCAATCTCACTTGTCAGACCTTGTGGCATCAGCATTTCAACTTTGCATTAAAACATTCATCTTCATTTTGCGAAAAACAACTCTCAACCGCATTATCCCCCGCATTTTTGCTACGGTCGTGTTGTCTGGGGCCTGTTACCAGTTTGAGACACATTTCTGACCAGGCTGACGTGCCCTGTATTCCTGTATCTCATCGCTAAGGACCATGCTCAACACCCAGGAACAGGAAGAGAAGGAAGGCAGGCGGCAACCATCATCAGCTGAACGCTACTCGCTGAGCAAACAAACGGCAAAGGACCACTCAAAGGAGCGAGGAAAGGCGGAGGGCAGGGATGTCAGTTGGTGATGAATAGCTAAAAAAATCACAAAAGAAATTACTTATAATTCCAGCTACTTAATATGTAAATAATAATTTTATTTTACGGTTCTTAAATAGCTTTTTTGTAATGTCAAAGTAACAGTAAATTTAACTATACAATTACAAAATAATTAAGTCTACAGCTTTCAATATATAACTCAACCATTTCATCTATATTTTCAATAAAATATAACCCTCGTTTTGATTTTTTCTATAAAATAGCTATGGTGCCAGCACTGGTAGACTATCCTGATATCCTGCTGACTTCACAGTACTCCTCTGCCCATTCCTGCGGCTTAACACTCAACTCGGAGTCACGTACATGTCTTGGCCACATGCCCACTCTCCTTGTTTTTTCACAGACATGACCGGTACCTCAAACGGTAAGTTTGCTGTTCGACTCGGCTTTGGTGGCCTCTCCACTCAAGTGTCGCAATTTGATGGCACATTTCGTTAATGGCCATCTTGTCACTTCTTTATATAAATTCAACTGTAGAGTATTTTATTTCTTTATTTCTTATTATTTTTTAAGCAGCTCAACTACCCTTATTAGCTGTCAAAGTTTCAAGAAGCCAAAGGAAATAGCTTAGTCTATTGCCAACTAAAGTAAAGAAACGAAGTCTATAATACATAATTTTAATGTTTTCGAGCAGGGGAATTTTTAAAGGAAAGTAAATACCCACTAAAGATATGTTTTTGAAACGAAAAATTCATCCTATGAGTCATTATTTTCCGCTATCAAGACACATAAAAATATCATAAAATTTGTGCAACTGTCTTTAGCCAAGCTCAGTTCAAGGTTTGCACTTACTCTCGTCTGTTAAATTTTGCGCAAATGCCAAAGTTTACACGCATCAGCAGAAGCACAGGAAGCGAAGGATATAAAAACGGGCGAGTGAAACTTTAAAGAAATCCAAATAAAAGCAATGCAATATCAAAAGTTGCTCCTTTCCGTTTTTTTTTCCTCATCTTTTGGCTCTTTCCCGGGTTTTCGCGCAGATCTTTCCCCCACGCTGTGAGGGCATTAAACAATTTTTCAGAAGTCTTTCCACCGACTTTCAGGGGCACCACACAGACATCGGATGAGTGTTTGCTTTCGGGGGTCTATTAGAAGCGACACTAACAAATAACGAAAATTGATGTGTCTGGCATTGATGAAGGAGCAGGGCCGATGGGAACTTAGAAATGTGAAAATGAAATTATAATTACAAACCGCCTTTTGTCTCTGGCAACTTTCTTAATTAAAACTCAATAGTGCGCGGCAAATGCCTGAGGGAAAATGATGAAAACAAATTGTAAACAACATGCCCCGGGGCAAATTATGTCAATGCACAATGCAAAATTAATTTGGCAACTTGGCCGTAACAGAGCCCACGAGCAACTTTAGGCCAAGTGGAATCCTTTCTTCTGGCCAACTTGCCAGAGATTTGGGATTCCATGGCTATCGCCAAAACGAAACGAACCCAAATCCAGAGCACAACTAACTCATAAAGCCAAGTGCAACTTTTACACTTTTCTAGCCGAGCCGAGAAAACAAAAACCATAACCAAACTGCTGCGTTGCGGCGAAACTTTCTTAATAGATTTTTGCTCTGCGATAAACTTTTTCCAATACAACAAAAGGATACGAGAGGCAAGTACAAAAAAAATAACACGAAAAATGAAACCAAACGGGAAGAAGCGTTTTCCCTTTTCCCCTTCTAACTCAACTCCTAACGACGAGTCTCTGGCTGTCGGTATAGGAATCGTATTGCGGACATCTTTTTGCTAAATTCACTTTAGTTGTGGAAATTGATTTTCATCTCTGGCCGGCATCTTGAGTTTGTATTGCGGCTTAGTCAAAGTTTGCCTCGCCTTCGATTTGGTTGCGAGGGAAGTGGAGCTGAGGAAGTGGAAACAGGATTTATCCTAATGCCAGGCTTATTGTTTACACATCATATTACATTATGGCGCATTATATATAAATGGTAATCAAATTGGTTTTGTTGAAGAAGCAGGCTCTGTAGATTGTTGACAGACTTGTGATAAAGTTTTTCAAGAGAAATTGAAATTGGAATTTTTATGTCTTAAAGGAATAGGGCATCCCAATCAAAAAGGAATTTTGTCACTTTTAAGCTTTCAATTTCCAATATTATATAAATTCAAATAACTAATAGTTCTAAGTTCCTTTTTTAATATAATTTCATAAGCAACTAAGTGAAGACGTTACTTAGACCTATTTTTAGCTGTGTTTAAAGGTGCTAAGAAATATACAAATCGCAATAACCTATCTACCTACCGAAAGGCAAATAGCAAAAACATCCATATATGGTTTTCTATTTTCCAGTATCTCTTTTTTTTCCTTTAGTGTTGGCTTACCACGTTCAAAGCAAGCCTGCTGTAAGCTCACTATAAGACTGCGTTTTCGACACAGCTTTTCGCACTCAACAGAGAATCCTAAGCCTTCGGCATGCTGTCTTCACTGTCAACCAATTTTCAGTCCCTTCTTTCCAGCACAGCCTCACCCATAAATCCTCCCCTGTAGTAACAAGTTAATCTTCATTTTCCTGCTGCCTTTTCTATTAAAATGCCATGCATCAATGTGACCGACAAGTGGGAGAGAGCTGCAAAAACCTGAGGCCCAGTGTAACTACTTATTGGTCTTTTTTCTACCCCTCCTGTCAGAGGCTCATAAACTCAATTAGAATGTACGAGCTGGCAGAAGAACCAACTAAAGTAGGGGCACCCACATGCAGATGCAGATGCGAAATGCGAGATGCAGACTCACAGGGAGAAGGGATGGAGACACTCATGCGTTGTCGTAGAGAAATCCTGGCAAGGTTAATCAACAGCAACACAGAACTCATAATTAGAGGGGGAAAAAATGAAAAGGAGAAAACACAGAAAGACTGTGAAAAACAAGCTATGATAACTTGGCTGATTTCTAGCAAATTCGGATGGGTTTCTTGTGGTTTAAAAGTATCTTTACCCTTTAAATAATACAAAAAATTTAACATCTTTATTTTCCCTTTTTTATTTGTTGACAACACTGTGTGCGAAGTGCGGTTTGGGGTTGGCAACTTTTGATTACCAGGAAGAAGTTTTTTCTTCTTTAATTCGTTTTGCCCCCTTTTTCCCTGTGTTTTATTTTCGCTCCATTTAATAATTTAATGATGGTAAATTTGTTGCAATTGCAGGCGAGATCCTGTGGGAAGTTCTGTTTCCACTTGGCCCTGCCGGAAATGAGTTCTTGATGGCATTCGTTGGTCGGCCCTAGGACCACCCAAATACAAAACTTTCAAGTGCCTGGTCCACTCTGCTAATTAAGCATTGTCCGACGTCTGTTTGGGTTTTGGTTTCAGCTGATGCAAAAACCCCATTGGAGTGGACCAAAAAGCCAGAAATAAATTAGAGCTGCGACACTTGAGCACGTTCCTGGTCCGAAAATTCCCTCTTTCCTCAGCTTTTTGCTGTTTTCAATGTCAGACAATGGCCACGATGCGTTTTGTCTGTCGGAAATTTATGTGTCTGCATTTCATTTGAGTGCAACAACAGAGCTCCTTCCGTTTCCTCGTTGCGTTTTTTCCGTTGGTTTTTTATCTACCGATTTTAATTTACTGTCTGCTCTTTTTTGGCATTTGCAATTAGTTTTTGCGGCGGACCATAAGCCATGCAATATTGCTCAATAAATTTTGCATTGATCATAAACAAATTGAAATTTGGCGGCCGTTTTTGTCCGTTGAATAAATATCCTCCTCGGCCAATGGTCATCAGGGTTCACTTTTTGCAATTGCTTTTTGTTTGTTTATTAATTGCTAAATGATTTAAAATTCATATTTCCACCAGATAAAGGAAGTGTCATTTGTTTCGCTTATTGTGTTTTAAAGTTTAATCAACAGAAAATTATGCAGCGCTTGGCAATAAATGTTTAATGGTTTTCTAATGCTGTTTGTTGTCTTATTTAAATATAAATGGTTTTTTACATACCTTAAAGCATTTTAGTATATTTTATTTTATGTGTAATATTACATCCTTTGCAATACTTTATTTCATATCTAAAAGAGAAACAATATATTAGCATTGTAAATAAAATAGATCAGAAGTAAAAGTACTTAAGTTTATAATTAAATCGTATTTCCAATATATCTGTATCTCATTTTCGGCCCTGGCATTGATCTATATTAGAATTGCATCAAAAGCCGTTGCATTCGATTTATAAATGCCAAGGACATGGCTGGCAGGCCCTAAACCGAAAGGCCAAAAGCCAAAAACTGTGGAAATGTCAGAGTTGGAGAAAGGCAACTGGTCAATAGAGAACGGCAAACAGGAAGGAAGGCAGACAGGATGGGATCGGACTCTCAAGCTGTGGGAACTGTGGGACAACATAGCAATAACCAGCATTAACTAGGATTGACTCGAACAAGCCATAGAGACCAACAACAATGAAGTGAGATCCTGGCAAGCAATAAAATTGTTGCTGGAACCGCAACACAAGGACATGAAGAGGATACAGAGAAAGCCGAGTTCAATACATGGCAAGTGCAGTGGAAAACTATTTACTAAGCTTTTATGCACTGCTCCTGAGAGATGCGACCAAGGCGGGACGTCGAAGGGACACAAGTAAATTAATAATTAATAACTTCTGGCGGGCATATTGCCAAAACCCCTCCCGAAAAATCCTAGAAAAACAAGAACGACCACTTGAGCGTTTATTGTTTGGCTCTGCACTTGCGGAAAAGTTCTCCTGTTCCTCCACGAAAGGAGAGCAGCAGCGGGGAGGAGTAGCCAGGCATTAGCCAAAAGTTTATTCGAGAGTTTATTTTATTCGATCTGTATGGGAGTGAGACAATGGAGAACAGGGGATTTATTTAAGTGGGTTTAAATGCTCTCAGAGTCCCTCGAAAGATGCAAAGGTTTTGCATTTGTTCGTTTACTCTGCATAAATTGGAAAGCCAAAGCCAAAGAGTGCCTCTAATTACATTGAAGGTTACAAAAATAAAAAACAAACTCATCGAGTTTTAAAGGCTTAGTCAAATGTGGGGGTTGGCCCTTAAAATAAACACTAGAGGTTAAGTTCACAGCGGAAGTAGTTGTAGTCACAGAAGGTAAATGGATTCTGAATAATTGAGAAAGACCTAATTGATTTCAAGTAGAAGCTGCTGGAATTTAATATTTCCAGCTAAGGCTAAAGTTAACTTGGGGAAAAGCAAAGCTTAATGTAATGTCTCGCTCGGATTCTGTCCCTTTTTTCTGGTCAAGTTCGTTTGATTATCTAAATGATGGTCATTAAAATTAATTTGCATTCGGCTGCCGGCCCAACACATTGGCCGTTAAATGGGAAAATTAAAAGTAAATTGAAAGTGAAATTAATTGCAGGCCTGGGTGCGGCCCAAAGTCAAGTGGAGTTCATCAGGAGAACATGTTGTGGGTACAAGTACAGTGGGAGTCAAAATAACAGCATTCTAAAATTATAAATCCAAATATTCTTACATTGTTGGTAAGCATTCCTTTTCAGTAGATGTTTTTTATATTTTTGGACAATGTAAAATATTGTTTTTATCTTAAAATATCAATAAATAATTCTGGTTTATTTGAATTTAATATTTATATTATCTTATTTTTACTTAAAGCATTTTAAATACCACAATTTCATCCGCAATAGTGCATAAGTACCGAGTCTTATCTCAATTGCAATTAGTATCCGGCAGCCCAGTAAATGTTTAATGAATGCATCGGGCCTTTTGTCTTGCGAACAATTGATGAACAGCCGTTTCTCGGGCTCCTGCAACATTCTCCTCATCATTTATCAATTCCATTTCAGTTAGTTTGGATGGAGTATCATTTTTCTTTCCTCACAGATTTCGCACGCCCATTTTTCCATTCATTCCGGTCACTCAGCCAGTTAGTTTGTTGGTCAGTAGTCAGTCACTGGAGTCTCTCGGTTTTGGATTTCCGCTCCCCGCGACACTTGACACTTGACACGAACCCAAACCAAACCCAAACTGAATGGCAAAATGCCGAGGATGAGTCCTTCTCCCCTGTTCATTCATTCAATCGCTCAGTTAGTCAGCCGGGCATTCGCTCATTCAGTCGGGCATTCGAACAAAGGCGACGCCTCTGGTCAGCCAACTGTTGACATTGCTAAATGAATGAACCCTAGTTAAGTTACAAAATTGCATGAAAAAAAAAGAAAACGCATACAGGAAGGGGAAGTTCGCTAGGAGTTGAATGAATACGAAAATACTCTTACATTATAGAAGAAATGATTGCATTTTAAAAATCTTAAATATTAGACACTTCGAATTTATGAAATTTAAAGCTTGTGGAAATAACATTGAAATAAAGTATATAATTCAATTTTAAGAATTATTTAAAAGTCATGAACTCTCTGTTTAACTCAACTAACATGAGTCTGCACTTTATTTAAATGGTATAGTGTATAGTATAGTATTTCACAATGAAAATGCTGAATACCCTTCCATTCCGCTATGTAAAAGCTGATGGAAAAAAATATGACAGACAGCGGAAGGGGGATGATGGATGGAAGGGAAACGCATCCGAGTGCAAATCAAATGCATTAAGCGCAACGGTAACAGAGAGTGCTCGAGTATCAACCTGAAGCCATCTTAGTCCGGCCATTCCATTTATCCATTTAGTGTTGAAAAAACTATCCTCCTCCAACCACACTTCACATTTTTTCTTCTGTTTCTGAAGTTGGATTTTGAACCGACACTTTGCACGTATTCGCAGTCGGAACAAAGCTTCGAGGGGATGCAGCATCAACGTAAATCCCATAAAATGGAAAATGGCCAAGGAAGTTGAAGATTGCAATTTAATTTCGACCGCAAACACGAAGCTGGAACTCCTGGGCCAAGGCAACTAATGGAGGAGTTTTTCCGAGGAAAATATGCTGACCGTATTGATGGTGGAAGGAGGGTGGGTTTGCATTATAACGACCCCATTTGGTAACCTCTTCCCCCAGCTTTATTTGCTCGGGCTCCCCTCCGTCACATGTGCGTCGCATTTATCACTGAATCGCACTTTAACCACAGGATATTTGATCTTGTGCCATTTGACATGAGCCTTGGCCAGTCTTGGCCAACTTCCCAGTTCCCCCTCTGTGGATACATATTTGGCCAAATGCAATCCCAGGGGAAGTTTGTTGCTGCTGTTTGTTTGTACTCCCGAAAATCAATAAACTGATAAACATATTGCATTGTCCGCCCGGTGGCTGAAAATTGAATTGAATTCCGTGCGGTCAACTTGCGGGATAAAATGGTCAAGGCAATAGTGCCAACGAATGGAAACAAATTTAAAATTAATGGCAAAAGTTGAAACGGCTTTCGATGGCCAAATAAAAATATCTGCAAATTATTGGCTTAATTTTAGAGATTACTGTTTACACAAATGCTGATATATTACATTCTATATATTGCAAATAATTTCGATTTGGGTTTCTCTTAAAGCTTATTTAAATTGTAAATCAATGTGATTATTGCGGTTAATGGTATAGCAAAAGCTTGTACACAAACTTTAAATGAGGCTGAATTATTCAACAAAAAAGAAACTAATTTAAGCTTTTATATAGTTTAAATAATTAATAAACCGGTTTAATTAGTGTTACTTTCAACGCTCTATTTGCCAAAACTTTCAGGCAAATAACCAGCTTAGAATTAAAACTTCCTCTGGGAACTCTTACCCACCGATTACTTTATTTAATCCAATTAGACAGCAGTATTTCCCTCTCCCCCCGACTCTTTAGACTTAACCACTTGAGTTAGTATAATAAAATTCAAGTGAATTTATGTCAATCTCCTCCAGAGAGTTGTATTTAATTAAATAAGTCGGTGAATTCGGAGAAAGGATTGAGAAGCCAGGAAGAACTCTCGGCAAGCGTCTCATTTCAAAGGCAAAAGCCGGGAATGGACTTGCTCAGATGCCAGGAAAATCAGCGTAGCAGCTCCGGAAAAACGCCAGAAAATCCCCTGAAAATATTTGCCTTTGTTATTGGAGTGGCTGTATCTTTTTTTTGGGCTGTTTGCTTGGTTTGCTGATAAAACAAAGCCAAAAGTTTGGTATAATAAAATATAATGATTATGATGTGGAACGTTTTCGTACATCGCCGCAGGCGTAATCAAGGAAAATATCAATGATTCAATTCATGACAAGTGTTTGCTAGTCGAACCCAATTTGTTGCTTGTTTTGACATCATCAGTGGCATTTCGCATCCCATTCCCTCTACCCATCAGCATCATTATCGGAGAGCTGCCGCTTGAATTTTTATGAGAAAAGTGGCCCCATAATCATTATGTATGAGTGCCATTTACCCCCACTTCCCCATTCCTCCCAAAAACACTCGAGCACCCAACCAAGCCAGACAATCATTATCTTTTCTCGCCAAGCTTTTGTCGGAGATTCCCCTCTGAAGCAGCCCCATTTTTTCCTGCCAATGTGTGAGCAAAAGAAAAACTATTTTCCCATTTTTTCTCCCCCCCGTTTAGCATTTGATAAAGTAATTTGTCAATAAAACTAAAGATGGCTGTGTACTTTTATAATAAATTCTAGAAATTGACGAGGATTTCAGCAGTTTTCCGAAAAATTAGTTAAAAGCTATAGTAAAAATGTCAAGATACTTTATTATATTATATAAATATTTTATCCCTACATTTTTAAATTTATAACATTTAAAACATTTTGTATAATATATCAACAAGTAGTAATATTCTGTAAAAATATGGATAAGCTTGATTATTCCCCATCCTAATTTTATTAAATTAAAATTTCAGTCATTTATTCCCCAAAGAAATCTTAATTAATCATATAATATTGTAAATATTTCATGAATAATTTTTTTCGATTCAATCTCCGCCTCCGTTTCATCATTTAAAAACCCCTGCGAGAATTTTCGTATATTAACTTTTGCGGCTCGCCCGATCATTATAAATAAAAAAAAAACAAGAAAGGAAGCTAACTTCGGCACGCCGAAGTTTGTATACCCTTGCAGATATTATTTCATTACATTTTACCTATACTTATTATGTTTACAGTTTGACAG